TTTTTTCACAATTGGGTCAACTAAATTAACAAAATCTGCCAAACCAACTAAAAACATCTGAACTCGGTTTGTTTAAACCTCCTGACTCTGATTACTCGCAATTTGATTACCTGTTTGCGCCAGCAAGGTTTTAACAACTTTAATTTTGCCACATGTTCTGCTGCCTGCTGGTATATGTGCAATGCATGACGCAAGCAAGCCAATACCGCCTTCTTCTTACCCTTGCTCTTCTCGTGTAAGCGTTATTCGCATCTCATTGCTGATCGAAGCAGGTGGTTGAGAATTTCAGGCGGCAGCTGCGCCCACCTGTTCCTTATGCCGCCGCCCCGAGCTCCCGGTCCAGTCGACATTTCGGGTTCTCGACCGATTACTTGCCTGCTTGCCGCAGTCCTCGTAGCAACTGCCCTATTTCCGCCCCCCGATGTCCCTCCCCCCTCCTTCTCTCATCTCCCCTCTCCCCTTCATCCCCTTCGTCCGGCCATTGCGCCCAACTGTTGACCTTGTTACAGGCCGCTGCACCCATTCTGCGCCTCTCTCTCTCTCTGAGGGACAGACAGCGGCCATCTGGTGGCAATGAGTTGCCTACCCAATTAACGTTTACTTCGTGGTCTGACCTGCGATGGCACCGGCAAGTCCCACAGATGGTGCTGTTATTATGTGCACCGCGGTCTGTGCACGTACGCACGCACGGGCCTCTATGATTTAATTGGCAATTTTCCAGGCCTAGGGTTCGTCAGGTACTACACATGTGCCCATTACTGACCACAGCCCAGCAGTTACAACATGGCATGATGTTGTCACTTGAAAGTTGGCTAGGGGGCTAGGTTTCCAAAGCATGCGCTTAGAGCGCTCGCTTGCATTTCTTTTTCCGAAAATTGTGGTCGATGTCTTGGCGCATACTGTATAATAGGTTCTTATACAAGAAATTTCCAAAGAGGCGTCTACGAAACGTAGGAAACCTCCCAAGTAGTTTTGACTACTTCCACATGTTCCGGTGGCAATATGCTCAGATAAAAAATATTTTTAATATGATACATATGGCGGTGACAGAAAGGAAGCCTGCCTAAGGGTCTTTCAGAAACGCAGGTTCTCCTTCATCCATGAGTTTGAAAGTGAGCATACTTATCATCCACTTAGAAGGCATTATTGGCATATTCGATTCACGAAACAATACCTGCCAATTTTCGTTTCAGGCCGTAGAATTCAAATTATTTATTTTCTGTCGATCAGTTAAGTTTCCACAAAAATTATATTTAAAAAAAATCCAGAGTACCCAGAGTCCTTATTTGCTGTCACTATTGTCCGTCTGGATCTCACCGTAAGAATCGGTATCATCCTTAAATGACGGACGTATGCTAATGAGACGAGTCCATAATGCGTATTATCGTAGCGAGAGGCTTTCCAGATAATTTAAATGAGTGCCGGCCAAGGCGAAATAAAGCTAATTTAGGCATATTCTCCCAGCAGCCAACGCTTGTGCATTCAGTTGGATTCGCTTTTGTAAATCTAACTGGTAAATGTTTAAAAGGGTATTCCAAAATCAAAAAAGTGTGCGGTTGTTTAAAGCTAAGTCAATTTTGAGGAATTGACCCGTCTTTATGCTTTACTCTGGTTGTACTAATTACAAGCAACTCTGTTAACACAACGAAAGGGAAAGCGTGAACTTCAGAATAGTTTTTTTCTCTAACACATGCTGCTAAATTATTTTGAGGCCAAAACAGGCATAGAGCTCTTAGAGAGCGTTCGTAAATAAAAACAGAAAACTTATAATTATGTTGGGCATTTCAAGAAGCAATAACAAGTCTTTTTAAAGTTTTGTTTTGAAGTTATTTCGATGGGAATTGCCTATATGACACCTCGACTGAGTACAGGAAATAGGAACGCTACCCCCCCTCCCCCATCGTGGCCATGAGGTAAATTCCGGGAAGTGTATCTATTTCCATGTCCTAACTCTAGCAGTAAATTTAATCCAAACGCTAACTCCTGACCTTACACTAAAAGCTGAACGTAACCCTTATCTTAAATCCAGTCTTACCTGAAGCCTAACCTTAAAACGAACCATCATCTCTCTAGCATTTAGTGCAAAGCCACCTGTACTACGGGTAGATCCTGTTCCCATGTCCTGCAGGGAGGGAGGAAGAGCGTATAAGAACCCTTGCCGTTTTCAATAGTAGCTTAGCACGCATAACGAAGACCACCTGTCATGCTGGTATTTTATACAAGGAAAATTGAAAGAAGAAACCTTTTTACACAATTTGCAGTAACCTGCAGTTTCTATTGGTCCGTGATGCATCTACCTTTTTTACATCTTTCCTTTAGAAATAGACTCAAGCTTTAAAGGTAATTTCAGGTGCGACTAAAACCGTGCTTCCTGAAGCAATCATGGATAATGCTGACATGTATTGCCGCTCAAACAGGTCACGGGAACAGGATTAGCCCACACTGTATCTGGCTTTGCGTCAAAATCCCAGGAAATTAGATTTAGGATTAAGGTGTGGGGTAAGTTTAAGTTTGGAGTTAGATTTAAGGCTGGAGTTAGGGTTAGAGTCAGGAATATGTTAGAGGTTGAGGTTTGGGTTCGTGTTAACTGAAGGGGTTGGAATACGGCTAGGGTTAAGAATAAAATTACATTTGGTATATGGAGTTCTTTGGGAAACAGTGGTTTATTGTGTAAATTTTCGACACTGGCACACCAGGTCGTCGTCAGACGGATGGAAATTGTACGAAACAGTTAACTCAAAATGATGGCTAACCTAATTTTATATAGTGGGTAACGTGATAGTCCATAATCGTCACCCGCATGTGATTGTGCGGTCAGTGGGAAGAATAGTTGCCACCCGCATGTGATTATGCGGTCGGTCGGGAACTAACTGTCGGCAGCAATTAATCGTGCGGTCGGTGGTGGCTAGTTTTCGCTTCTTCTAGTCCGAATAGGCTGTCGTCTCTTCCATTCTTCCCTGAGGGTGGTGTACACCGCGTCCAATTCGACGTGCCTGTTGATGCACGAGTCGTCGATGTTGATGGCTTCTAAAAACTCGCGGCCTTTCCTGTATGTACAAGAGCCAACAATGCAAGTTTCGTCCCATGCAAATTGGTGTCCAGTTTCCAATGTGTACATGGCGACTTTGAACAAGTAATATCGCCCCTTTACCGCTCGCTGGTTTTCGCGTAAGCGTGTGGAGGCTGATCTTCCTGTCTGTCCGCAATAAATTGCATTGCAGCCGCTACAGGGGATCTTGTAAATGGCCTCTTTTCTGTCCAAATCACATGCGGGTGATGATTATGGACTATTACCCTACCCATTATATAAACTTCTGTTAGCCATCATTTTGAACTAACTGTTTCGTTCAATCTTCACCCGTCTGACGACGACCTGGTGGGCCGGTGTCAAAAATTTACACAATAAACCACTGTTTCCCAAAGAACTCCTTATAGCGAATTATACTTATTGGGATGCTGATTCTCCAATAAAGTTACAGCTTAGTTTTATCTTAAAGTTAGTATTAGAGATAGGACATGGGAATTTTTACCTTTCCTGAAATGTATCGCAAGGCCATCTATTTTAATAATAATAATAATGCCCATTAGTAAGGCGCCTGTTGGGCGCCGTCAAAATCCTGGAAGAAAGGAAAAAACTAAAAAAACTCCTTCTTTTGCAGTCAATATTGGCTTTGTTTTGCTTTTGTGCTTGGTAAATAAAGTGCAAAATATGGTGTTTGTTTAAAGTGAAAAAAACTGACTTCAGAGGTGCAATAATAGCAAAACATGAAACATAACAGACATACATTGTACGTGTTAATGTTTCATAGTAAGAATAGTTTGGGTCCAGAGGAAAACTGTCATTCATGGTTTTTCAAATTTTCATTCGATCAAGGTAGATTTGGCCGCAGTCGGTTTGAAGAGTAAAAGTATCGAAGCAGATGCCTGCGCATCGTTCAGGTGCGTGGATCGGCCGATACGGAGTTTAAAAGATATCTGTCCATCGGAGCGACTAAAATTGCAGATGTCTGAGGTGGATCGAGG